GGCCCAAACCAAGTTCCAAACATAGCGCGAGGCTGCCCCACAACACAAACTGCAATTCTTCTATGTGCATCATCTGTTGTAGAGGCAGCTGGCCCTGAACCAGGAAGTTTTGGCCATTGTAGCCGTTGAATCATCCAGTCTTGTGCGCGGGACATCTAGCAGGGACACTCAAGCTGTGAAAGGCTTGAAATAGCTGAATCATGCTGAATCATTTTACAAAAGTCTTTCAAGTCGCAACCAATGACATTGGGGAAGAAATTAAAGCAAGCAAAGCACACTGAGCCAAACAAGAACATCAAGAACTGTGTCTTGAAAAAATGTTTTGGCCGAAGTCGTGGTAACAGCAGCAGTGTTGGCACCTCTGCAATATCCGCGCACACTTTTGCTGCTTCCGCCGCAATGCCACGCAAACACGCCTCACTGGAGCAAGCAACTTTCAGCCAATGCTTGACTTGGGGGTTCTGCAGGGGACTTGGGTGATAACGTGCATGATTGTTTGGAATTGCATTTTCACATCCTTGGGCCTCTTCATGAGATGGACGATATGGACTATAGCATCCCGAGCATGAGCCATTTTGCGTTTTATGACAACACAGCTGCAGCCAGGCTAATACAAGTTAGTACAAGACCAAAATGCTGCAAAACCACACGCAAACAATTTCCTTATATTTCCTGGCTTGATCCCCCTGTCCGCAAAACTATAAAAGCATCCAGCAAATAAATCACACTGTAGTAGATAAACAAAGGCTTTCTCGAACGTTTTCAATGATTGATTAATTCACAGTACCCAGCAGCGAGCGGCATCTCTGCATCATGGGGTGCTTTGCTGAGAAGCTCAAAACCGTGACGCAGCCGGTCTTTTAAGATACGCTGTCCAACTGCTTGTTGCCAACTTGTTGGCAATAACATTTGAAGATCTTTGGCACTCTCGGCAGCTGCAGCTAGCAAGCCAAGAGCCTCTTGAGTGTATGCAAACATTTGTTCAGACTGACATGCTGCCAGCTCTGTGCCAAATTCCAACGCCTTCCCCACGGCTCGAAAGAAGACATGCCAACCTGAAAGACATATCGATGTGGGGTCTGCCAGTGACAGGAACCACTTCGGGACCCATGAGTCTGGATCCAGGTGAGCATCGGTTAGGGACAGGACCTGGTAAACTTCCTCGACCGTCTCTGAATTGAGGAAGGCCACAGTCAGAAGCTCTGCTGTAAGAGCTGCAGCTTCACAGCCCCGTCCCATCCTCAGATGCCGGCAGCTTGTGGTACTTGCCAATTGCATTCAACCACCCCGGGTTGATCAAACGTATACCAGTGAGGTTCTTTCTATTCTTTCCAGCAGTCAGTGGTTTTTTTAATGTGTTTAACAATATGAACATCATGCAACTGTGTCCGTGCCACGGATTCTGAACAAAGTTGGATCAACTTGAGGATATCCCAAGAATGCAGCTACGGGTACATGCTGACTGCTGAATGGATCTAGCCCCTTATTGCCCTGCTAAAATGCTAAACCACACAAGGCAACAAACAACCCCTTTGATCCCAGGAAGCGGAAACGCATTGAAACATCTCAAAACCCAAATCTTTGGGAAAACCACGCCGAATTGAGGTAACGCTCATGCAAAACTTGCAAGCAGAGGCTCTCGATGGACTCGAAGTAAAATCCGAGCCATTTCTTGTGCTCAACGGATGTGGGTGCCAAGCTCGGGTACATATCTAGAGTCTCTAGAGCCTCTAGAGCTTGTAAAAACAGTCCTTCAGACTGTTGCCAGTCAATACCATCTTCCATCGGTGGCTTCTGGCAGGTGCTGATGCAAAACTCATTGGGGAAGTCCACCAAACAACTCCCCAAGTAACACCAATTGCAAAAAGCACTTGCCCTCGCAGCATAAGTGGCCAACAAAAGGGAGAACTGCCTGCATGACACCATCATCATGGCACTGCATCGAATGAAGTAAGCTCATTGCTCGAATTGCATCCTTAAGGGCCTGAACCCTCCATGTTTTCTTGATACAGTATATATACTTCTCCACATTGAGATGTTCAGGAACCTTGCTACCATCTGTCTATGACGGGCCACCTTGCCAATTTGCCACCTGAAAACTATGTCCATATTGTATCTTGAATAGTCTTGAAAGGTAATCAATTTCAAAGCAGAACCATATTGAACAAGTCTGCTTGGATTGCGTGGAAATATAAAAGAAAATTAGACCCACCTTACCCTTTGAGGGTGGCAATAAATCTATTTATATATATCACCCCAGGAAGCCTTGGTGCCAATACAAAGCAGTCCAGCTGCAACTAAGTCATTGGGGTAAAATGAATAGACGCTGCATCTCACTTGTAGCTCCAGGCGCTGCAGCAACCTTCCGTTTTCATCCGTGTTCTTGATCTAGGAGCGTCACTGGACAATGGGGTCACCGCATACAGAAATACTAGTGTTGGAAGTGTACAGAAAGAGCAACACAAGGCTCCCAAAGGATGTCTTTGGCCAGGTTCAACATCTTCACATTGAAGTTGCCCTTTTGATTGAAGGGTATATTAAACTCAGCTGCCAAGTGCCTGCACATGCATGCAAAAGGACCAGGACTATAGATGACTATAGGCTAACTATTATCATTACAAGGTGCACCAAACCAATCCAAACACTAGCTCACTATAAAAGCATATAAAAGATTATAAAGGCATATAAAGGATTATAAAGGCATGTTCCCTTCATTCACTGATTCATTGACTTGGTGTGCATGGCCTCAAGCAACTGCAGCAAAGCTCCTGCGGGCCTTGGAAATTGTTTGGCAACTGAGAGTGGGTTTTGTAAAGACACAAGGATTTACAACATTTGATTCAGTGGCACACATCTTGGTCATCTTGGATTTCATGAGTCATCAGGCATGGTGTCGGTGGGGGGGCCCTCCATTCAACTCCACTCCTATCATGTCCGCACATGCCTAAACCTGCTTGATCATGCTTGATGCATCTAAGTTGCCCAAACCACTAGCCCTGAAGGACTGCATGTGCTGGGCCAAAAAATGCTGCAGTTGGACAGCCAAGAGGCCAAGAGGATACAAAACCAATAGACATCTGCTCTGTGGCATGCTAATCAGATTTGTTTTGCCAAGCAGTCAATCAGGTTGAAAGTGCCAAATTGATCCAAATTGAGCATCCAAATCTGAAGTCCCAGACTCGACTTCTTGGGCAAATCAAACCAAAAACTTGCAGATACTTGCAGTGTGCGGAGGCTGCTATGGGTGGGAAACTCTTACAGTTGGATTTCAGCAAAATCTATGGAAAAAATATGGAAAATGCCAAGACCATCCATGATCATCATGCACATCTAAATCATGTTATGCACATGTTATGCACATGTCATCAACCCGTTATGTACATGTCACGCGCATGTCATGCATCACTTTATCCAGTCACTTAGTCCAAATTGGAAACTCAACAAAATGTTATTCTGAGCAAGCCGCATGGACACGACAAACATGGCCCACCGGACAAACCATTTGTCCACGCAGGGAAACATTGATCGAGAAGCGTTGCTTGAACACCTACTGCAAAAAGTTCAAGTGACAAACAAAAAAATAAACAATAATAGATCGATCATGCGTTGAATTTCAGTGCCAGCGCGTTGCGCCTTAATTTTTTGGATGTGATGGTGAGCAAGGTCATACTGTTCCTGTTTGACGCACTTCCGGAGCCAGTTTCACATATGTTCGCTAGTTGCGATCGTTTAGAACTAGGTGATCTGACGCCTGCACCCAAATTCAGGGTTGACTCCAAGTTTCCGATGCGATGTGCTGCAACATGTGCATCAACAAAACCTGTGAACCTGACGTTGTCTGACTGTTCCTGTTATTTTTCTTGCGCTTGCGAGTGTCAACGGATAAGTTCAACGTCTTCAATGTTTGGTTTCAACATGTTTCTTTCTTGTTGTGACTGAACATGTCGTGGCACACAACCGTGGATAATGTGCGAATTCCGCTGTCCGCTGTAAATGCACCGCCTGGTGTGAATTTGGAATGGTTCCATGGTCACTTGCATAGGATGTTCAAGTATAGGATGATTGATGCTGAAGGATGCCAGCGGAAAATCGAATTCCGGAAACTAATACTGTACTTATGAAAAACATATGCACAAAATGCACAAAAAAACACGTCTGGCCTTTCGTCTATTGCAGCTGTCATTCCATTTGAAAAATAAATTTGAACATGAAAGTGCCAAATGACAAAGCCGAAACAGGCACCACATCTCACATGATTTGGGATTATTAAATTATCTATTATTCTTATTTGTTCTATTCTTTTGTTTGATTTCTTCAATATGTGATCTCTTCCTCCCGCATCGCTGTGTCACACGGGAACGCAAAGCTCATCTCTGACTCCTTGCACTGGCAGGCTGCACCATTAAAATCTATTAAAATCTGTGGTACCAGTAGTACCGCACAAGGCGGTGGCGGAAGTTTCGAATAGGAAACCTATAGGAGAGGTTGGTTGTTGTGAATCACGGATGGCAGAGCAAATCCACTAATGGACCGACAGGTGGTTGGAGTTGTGTTTTTCGGAATGGTTGCAATGGTTGCAGTGGTCACCTTACCATAACTGCTGGATGTAGTGTGGTGTAGCGCAATTGTAGTTGCAGTTGTAGCTGTGCTGTAGTTGTAGTGTAGTGTAGTGGAGCTGTAGCTGTAATGTAGTGCAATTAGCGCATTTGCAAGCGCAGTTGCAGTTGTAGTTGTGGTGCGGTGCAATTAGTGTAGTGTAGTGCAGTGTAATGTCGTGTAGCGTTGTGAAGTGTAGTGTGGTATAGTGTAGTGTAGTCTAGTCTAAGGTAGTGTAGTTGTAGTTGCAGCATAGTGCAGTGTAATTAGTGTAGTGTACCGTAGTGTAATGTAGTGGTAGTTGCAGTGGTAGTTGCAGCCGCAGTTGTAGTTGTAGCTGTATATAATGCAATGTAATCAGTGTAGTGTGGTTGTAGTTGTAGTTGTATTTGTAGATTGTAGCGTGCTGCAGTGTAAGTAGTGTAGTGTAGTGTATTGTAGTTGTAGCATGTTGTAGCTATGGTAGTAGTAGCCGTCGTCGTTGTTAGTGTCATTGGCGTAGCGTAGTGTAGCGTAATTAGATGTAATTGGTGTAGTGTAGTGAAATTAGTGTAGTGTAGTGTAACGTAGTCTATTCGCATTTGTAGTGGTAGCAATAGTGTAGTGTAGTGTAGTGTAGTGTAGTGTAGTAAAGTGTAGTGTAGTGTAGTGGTAGTTCTAGTTCTAATTGTCTATCTATCTATCTATCTGTCTGTCTATCTATCTATCTATCTGTTTGTCTGTCTGTCTGTCTGTCTACCTGCAAGCTTGAAAACGCAGCAATTCTGCGCGACTTCCTCAATTTTTGAACTTGAAAACGTCAAAAACGAAACAATTCTGCGAGACTTCCTCAATTTTTGAACTTGACATCCAAAACGAAACAATTCTGCGAGACTTCCTCAATTTTCGAAGTTGACAGCACCAAAAACGAAACAATTCTGCGAGACCTCCTTCAAAAATGGAAAGTTGAGTGCAGAGCTGACCGCCTCGTACCGATGCGTTTTGCGATTTTTCCACTCCACCTGTCTAAAGTACTGCGCCTGCCACGAAAAACTGATGCCAGGTCTTACGAAGTGCTGCGCCTGTCACGCAAAATCATCTTAGCAAACCTACACATCTGATGCTCCAAAATGCAACCCCTCTCAGGAAATCAGCGCCCTGACCTCCTAACATCTCTCATGAACATGTCTTTTGTACTGCGCCTGCCACGGAAAATGCATCTTTGCAGATCCTCTTCAAATGTCCCACGCCTGCCATCGTTTTTGGAAATGCGACGAAATCCTCACGTTTTGCTCACTTTTGACAAGGTGCACAATCCCTTGCGCCTGCCACGCGAAACGAGCTCTGAACGTCCAAACGTGGTCCGAACATGGAGTGCTTTTAACATTTTGACCTCGAAATGTGCTTCGAGTCAAAAACGGCGTGCGCTTTTTCGACATCTCAACTCCCAAAAGTGGTCCGAGCTTGGTGTGTTTTGTGCATTTTGACTGGAAATGTGCTTCGCACCACAACGGCGTGCAATTTTTCATCTCTCATCTGGCCAACTGGCTCCGCACCCGCCGCTTTAGCGAGCCTACTTTTTGACCCTCCGGAGCCACAAACCAATGGAAGGAACACAATGTTTTGCGACTTTCCTACCTTTTCCGCACCTGGATCTTCTTTCTTCTGAGACTTTATCTGTTTTGATCTTCTTTCGTCATCGGACACCTTGCAGGGCATGCAAGGCATATATCGGAAACACGTGGACGGCAACACCGTCGGCAAAGAATAACCTGCAGGCAGGTCAATTGGAACTTGAATCACAAGAGCACACAATGGGAAGCATCCCATAGGTTTGATCTTCTTTCTTCTTCTCTTCTCTTCTCTTCTCTGACTCTTCCCATCTCTGCTTTTCATCTGTCCATATTGTCGGAAGTTTGACTTCTAAACTTCCTTCAATTTTGAATGAATTTGTATGTATTTTCATGTATTTTCAGACACTTGTATTATTAGCTTTTGTGATAGCAGTAATATGACAGCCATGTAAACAGTGGTCATCTGCTGGATGGATCAATCAAGAAGGCCCCCCCCCACAAGAAGGACCACGCACTCCATTTCTTCGATGAACAAAGACTCAAGACTTTTATTTTGTGTATCACTGTATCACTTCTGTCAGCGCTCATCCTCAGGGACCCAGCCAAACGCATTGCATGAGCAGCCATGCAAATCACCTGCACCGCAAGCTGTAGGAATGGAACCACGTTTTTTTTTTTAAAAAAAAAAACTTCATACAACTTCATGTGCTTGTCTCCTTATGAGTCGAACAAAACAGGCCCGGTATGGCCCGGTTATGATTCTGCATATGATGTAGGATGAACCCTCAATATGACCATATACTGACCAATTGGTTGGTGTAAGTTTTTCTTTGTGGGAAAAAATTAGTCTTTCGACTATTTTCGACTGATGCCTTGTGACACTGCGCTACATACCCACTCTGATCACTCTGGTGCCTTCTCTACTGTGTAGCGAAAGCTCTGTCACTCACGGCATGACATGGCTGATGATGACAATGCTGGAAAAAAACTTGCAAATTTTGACAACATGTGGAATGCTGGATGTGGGATAGAGCCCAAACTAAGGCAATGAAGAAGTATGAAGTATGGTAAACAAGTCTTAAGTCTTACACTCCTTGTTTTGAGGAGAGGGTCTTTATTGTCAGCCAGGAGCATGAGCGGAAGATCAAAGGGAGGAAACTGTCCAATGTTCAAAAACTATATGCTGGTCTGTGGAACTGCAGCGCAGCATTTCGATAATGAATGACTGTGTTTCAACACAAGTTTTGCCAAATCGTGAGTCCCACACGCAACTCTGCACATCCAAGGACACTCTTTTCCAAGATTGCTACAGCTGGGGACTGTCGGCCCTATGCCAAGCTCACCCAAGCGGCACTCCCTGCAGCACTGCAGGAAGAGGGACGAAACGAACAAAGCGTCTGCGTTGCCAGCCAACGGCAAGTTGTGAAATGCAATGATGTAGGGACAAAGCGGTTTCAACATACCTTACCGCTAGATACATGAGTTCAGTGTTGTTAATCCAGTGCACTCAGCAGGATGTTCATAATATAGCTTTCAGTTCCAAGTTCATCTGACACATACTGCTACAAATGCTACTACAAATGCTACGGTATCAGGTGAGAGTGTCAGGTGAGAGCGGGTACATACGGCCAGTGCCAAATGCCAACAGCACTCCAATGTGCATGTTCAGAGCTGAAGGCAATGGAGCATTTCTATGGACTTAGTCGGTTGACTCTAAGAGAGAAAGAACAAAGTATGGTCAAAGCGGGTGAATAATCCGCTATAGGCCTTCGCCTTGTGCGAGACGTTACATCTGCTTGACATATCTTCGTCTACTTAAAATATATTTCATATTTAATCAATCATACACATGTCAGCACAGTTGAGCTAGGACAGGGCTAGACATGTTTCTCATTTTTTCTCTGATTTCCTGTGGCCTTCTGACAGTGAAGCAGGATGGGTTTTAGGATTTTTTAGGATGGGGGTGGAACAGAAAGGGGGACAGGGAAAAAGTCACCACCAGGGAAGCCAGCTAGGCAAACAATAAGCCAGCACAATCATGCAACCGCCCCCAGAGTATGCAAATGATCAGAGGTTGGTAAGCATGTGCAAGCATGGATTCAAAAAAAAGCAAAATATTATACAAACATCAGCAGCGATTTCTCAGACCCCTGCATCTCTGAAGCAAAGCGAGCCCATTCGCCATAGGTCACGCTGCGTACGTGTGAAAGTGCACGGGTACCTGGCCAGAATGGAATCTATCATGTCCAACTGATTTCCTTACGTGAAGTGAACTAATAAATAGAGTAAATCAAAGAATCTGTGATGCATCATCCAAGAAGTAAGAACTTACTGGGAGTTTCCAGTATGGATCAAGGTCGGTATTTCGCCAAATGCAGCTTCGGGTCAAAAGGATAATCTGGAGAACGGTTCTTTAATGTTCTTCGTGCTTGCAGTGAATGACTAAGAACAAGCTCATTTCAACTGCTTGGAAAAAGGGTTTTGCTTGCAGCGCATACTGCACATCGTACTAGTTCCGTCCAGCCCGGACGTTCGCCCACCAAGAAGAACATCGCTTTTGTATGCTTTTGTTGCGTTTTGTCATGCAATAAATCTGAACAATATGTTGAATGGGGGACTAACATCAACATATCCTCATTGTAAGAATCACATCTGCCAACCCTCTGAAGAATATGTCGCATGGGGTAAGAAAACAAACTGATCTTCATAAGGGGTCAAAATCGACCACCCCCTCTGAACAAAATGTCGAATGGGGAAAACAACACCAACTTATCTTCATTAGGAATCAACATCTGCCACCCCTGTCTGACAAATATGTTGAATGGGGTAATAGCATCAATTTATCCTCATTAGGAAATTTAGGAATCGAAATCTGCCACCCCCTTTGAACAATATGTTGCATGGTGTAATAACATCAACCTATCTTAATGAGGAATCAAAATCTGCTACCCCCTCTGAACAATATGCCGGATGGGGAAATAGCATCAACTTATCTTCTCTTCATTAGGAATCAACATCTGACACCCCTGTCTGGGAAACATGTTGAATGGAGAAATAACATCAACTCATCTTCATAAGGGTTGAATATCCATTTCAGACAAAAAACATCACCTATTGCATGTTTCCACACATCTTCAACATTCGAGATTGACATGTACAAAGAGAAAAACGCTCATATATATATATATATTATATACATATAACTTAAACAAATCGAAAGTCCACCATAGCTTTTGAAAAATACACAACCCTGCCACGATTCTGTGGCGGGTAAATGTCAGGGTAGCAGCGTACTAGTTTTATATAACACAAGATTCATCCAATTATATTCAATTTCAACATCTATTGTAATCATTCAGTCGGGGATCTGAGTGTCGCAGAAATTGCAACGGATCCTACCGGGGAACAACAACTCCCCGCGCGCACGCATTTCATCGGCAGCTGCGTGCAGGCGGAGAAGTTCAGCTGGAGGCGAAGGCAGTGGCTGCTCGCCTTTGGGACACGAAGCAAAGAGCTCCAAAGGAGCTCGCCACCATCGACCAGCATCCACCAGCCCGGCCCTACAAACCAAGTAAACAACAGTGCAACCATGTGCCAACTGCTAGAAACTGTCTGCCGCACAAATGCTGCTAATCAAGGAGATGCTGCATGATCAAAGGGGAGAAACATGATACGTAATTGTGTTGCAAGACTGCAAGCCAACTTTTCCATTCCTTGGTTCCAACTCGGGATACTTGGGGATCCTTGACGCCCTCAGTCACAATCGAATCTTCAAGCTGGCCGCCTACCTGATGCGGCTGCTGCTTCCGGATCGTAGATGCTGACAGACATCCAGTCTTTTGCTGGCATAGCAAACCTTGGTCTTCGTCAGATTCGACACCACTGATTTCTGTGGATTGTGGAGCCCCACATGCGGCCTGCCTGAGCCACATTTTAGGTCTGCCCAGCGCATCCCAGCGCGCTACTTGTCTGACCACTGAAATCAAAAGATTACAGCATGCAAGGCATGGTAATTACGCACAAAAAGATCTTCAAGGATTCAAACCTGCTTCAAGTGCCTTGAGACATTGTGCTGACCTGAATCATACAACGACCTCACAGAAAGCCACTTGCGTCGAGCAGCTCCCCAACAGGGTAGATCTCAGTCTTAAACCGCGCATCCCTGCCGGAAACAAAGCCTTTTTGAAAGTTCAAGCAAAACATAATCAAAAAACACTCAGACTCTCGCTGCGATTGGCAACGCGTGGCAGTGCTTGGCAATGATGAGCCCCAACAAAGTAGAACGACATGAAAAACGGGCAACGGGACTGCCGTGCTGAGGCCGCGAAGGCGTAAGCGCTTCAAGGCTTGTGGGAGCATGTGGGAGCACTCTTGCAGTCCTTAAGTGTCTTTAGAACATTCTGGAACATGCTAAAGTGCACCCTGAGGTGCTTGTGACATCTTACGCCTGGAAGGTGTAGGTGCAAGCGCTTCAAACCAAAAACATCGCGTTGTTCATTTACGAGTACAGTGTTCCCTTTCACACTGATGATTTGGAACCAAAACATGTGTTGGAAATGTTAATAGATTGTGATCAAAAAGAATCAGGATAGAATGTGGCCCAAGCATCAATATGTTCAAACACTCTGGTTCACAGTTTGGCATGGTCTCATGATATCTCATGATCTTGCAACCTCGGGTGAGTACGTACTGATCCAGTTTTGCATATGGGACGTGCAAGGATGTCCGCGCCTTGTAATTAACCATAAATAGAGGGGAGTGCCGGGCTTCAGGACATTGTCAGCCACAATCACCGCTTTTGGCCTCAACCACTTCTGCTGACCATAAATGAGAAATTGCTGCCACGAAGGGAATGTGTCATTGAGATTCATTGAGCAGTGCCAAAGATGTGCCAAAGTATTCATGCCAGGTAAGCGAGATGACATAACATGACCTAACATACCGCAGCCAATTTATCACGAATGCAAAGGACACTGCCAGCATTGCTGTGAACATCTGTCGAAGGATTGAATTGAACATGGAAGGCATTGGAAGGCAGTTGAACACCTTCATGGCGATCCGATGCGACACGGATTTGCCCAGGTATCAAGCTCCAGAAGCCCGTGCTGAATCAACATCATGAGCTCTTGATCCTAGGTGCTTGTCAGCTTGACATGGAAGATCATGAGAGATATTTTATGTTCTAGTGTCAAGCTTGGGACACCTGAAGAGCTATCAAAACTAAAAACATCTAAAAACTATAACTAGGATGACTGGGCGCAAATTCAGCAGCATTGACGCCTCCTGGAAATGACATATTGAACCCAACTAATTACAATGCAACAGGACTGCTGAGTTCGCAACGTAACGCGAACCACGGGTATCAGTGAAAACCTGAACCAATCTGAACCATGCATCGCATGCAAACAGAGCTACTAGATGCTACTAGCACCTAATTATCCTAATTAGTGTTGGAATCTTATTGCCGTGGATCAACTCTGCAGGCGGACTCCGCTTGGACACCATCATCTGAACCCATGTGGACCGACATAAGATACATCGACAGTCATCACTCCACAAAGAAGCACTGCGCTCCGTGAATTCTTGACACCCGCTTTCGCGTGCTGTCGCACTGATTTCTTGCAGATTTTCCTATCTTTCCTATTTCACGTCTGCCTCCAATAAAACACCTTTGAAAAAGGTGCGCTTGCAAAGCAATGCAAAGCATGAATGAAACTATTTACATTATTTTACATCCCTTTCTCATCTGAGCCCCTGACTCCTCCAAATCGCTCATTCATGTTGGCCGCCAGTCGTGGTAATAAAGACAAACTGTGTCCGATAAGAACCTTCGACCAACGTTGAGCATAGTACCACCCAGAATGAGGAATGGGGTTCCAAAATGTTAAAAAAAACTCTGGCAGCAGCCCTCTACAATCTTCTTGGCTCCAAACCATCATCAGCGTTTACGTTTACATACAAAATGCATGCTGGTCGTTGTTGGTCATTGCTGGTCACGATAGCTATTAAGCCTTAGGCCTGCATGTGTCGACAAAACAAAACACACCTCGTTTACGGTCTTCCCAAGTGAGTGCACCTTGACTTTCTGGGACACGCCCGCGAAAGCCAAAATGTTCGTTGCCTTGGCAAATCTTATCGTAATTCTGAAATCCATGATGTATCAATGATGGAGTTGGATGAGGACGAGTCAAGAATTCAAGAAACGAGGTCAAAAATAATCAGAGCTAGTTCATGCTGAGCCAAGCAATGTTTTCCAGCTCCTGGGCGAACGTCAAGAGCTGTGCAGGAATCTTCGACGCACAGATTTGTATTGAGAACCCACACTATAATTGCATGCACCGGGTCATTCTCGACAGTGGTGATCTTGCCAGCAGAATCTCTAGGTTGCTCGATCTTGTTCGATCATTTCCGGTCAATTTTGACACTGGAAACATAAACATTAACAACTTGTCATCAACAGTCATCAACATTCAAACATTGATCAACAAAGTGACCAATATGCGGAGTGATGTTTCCCATGTAAGTCTTCGACTGCAATCAAGTCCATGCTTTTATGTGCGGTGGTCCCCTATGTATAGGTCGTGCCAACTGATTGGAAAAGACTGCGCAATCACCGGATGTCTCGAGAAACGACTGTAGCCTTTCTTTCTTGTGAAAACGATTGAAAAAACCTTGTGCTGCTTGCACTGCCCCAAGCCCGTCAAAATGGCAGGCGCGCCGAAACATCTGCAACGGCCTCCCGAGCGAGGCGGGCTTCAAAACCAAGCTACTGACATACCACAGACTGAGGTCATGAGGACTGAGAAAACACACGACAAAGGTATGCACATATGCACAATGCAAGCCAAAGACTAGCAAACATTGCAGAGCAAGTTGTTCCGTACATCTGATAAGAAAACTGCTGATTGAGAGCGAGAGTTGTACTTGAACAAAACAGCAAATGCATCCACGTTGGAACTTGCAAGAGAGATTCTGCCCAATGGAACCTAAAGAAATCCGTACGGACCCTTGAGGGATCTGTGATATTGAGCTTTGCAACACTGTCTGCGGCAAGAACTTCAGACCCCTTGCACCCACCTGGCAAATCCTGGGCAGATCAGTTTGCTGCCATGTTTGTTATGTCGGTGCCATTTTTGTTGCAGGTAGTGTCTGACAATCCTCATTGTTTTTTCATCCAGGCTACTCGTATATTGTACAACGCAGGACTCTCCACAAGAATGGGATGGCCACGGCAAGAGTACAGTAATCTTGACTAGAGAACACGTCCAAGCACTTTGAGACAATTTCAGGCATCCTACTGATCCCTGATTACTTTCCTCAGGTCACTGCACATATCTGTTGCTATGGGGCCCGAAAAGGGCGTCAAGATCTTTCCAGCTGCCACGGCAGAGAAAATCGTTGTGCCAAGTCACACCATTGCTGAATAGCCGCAGTAGGTACCAAGCTCCAAAACCTGATTATACTCTTACATGTGCAATGAGGGAGCCAGGCACCAACCCCCTGTCGAATTTTACACGCAAACATGGCCTGCAAGCATATTGGAATAACTGAGAAGCCGATGGCCATGGATAGACAACGAACACGGAGGTCTCAACTACGGAAACTATGGCCAAGCACGCATGGGAATAACATATCTCAACAAATCCTGCGGGCTCAAGGCAGTTCTGCTAAAGCCAGTGGACAACAAGCCATGTAGGTTGACCTGGCACCTGACATTACTTGGTTTCCGTACCGTCCTGTTAGGCGAACTCTTCATTGCCGACGCCAACACCTTCGGGGTCGGATGCATTTTTGTTCAAGGGAAATGAACGCCTTTAGTGATCTTTACTGCAACTTTGCAGAAACTCTGAGCCAGAACCTACTATAGTACATAGTACCGTGATGTACCGTGATTAGATGCAAAAATCATCAAACATATGATACCATTTTCAACCTTTTTCAACCATGTGCAATGATGCACAATGATTTTATTCTTGAAAGTCTCCACGCCTCGGCTTTTTCGCCAGCAGCAAGCTTCAACCACCGCCCATTTACATGCTCTCCTTCATGCAAATGTCTCCGCAAACTCTTGTTGGGACCGAGTTAGTGCGGCCAGGCTTTGAATGAGAAACATGAGAAACACCGCAGAAACACTGCGAGGAAGCTCAGCTACACTAAATGGCTCCACCGCGTGAAGGCCTTGAAGAACATCAGTGCCGAAGTTTTCCTGAGCAGCTGGACACAGCTCGAAAATTGCACACAATGTCAAGAATTGAACAGAAGGAAGGAGTCAAAGATGCACAATGGGACTGCAAAGTTCATCCTGTCCGCGACTCTGAATATTTGTTAATGTATTTGAGAATACTGTAGTTTGATGTAGATTGCACAATCTTTCAGCTGAAAACTCATGAGGAACAACCACTCTTGGACCCTGGCCATCGCCGCGCATATTGAAACCAAATCCTCGGCAGTCGTAGCTCAACACCCAGCTTCTTCCATGAGTGAATGCTGGGTATTGTCTGCTCGCTTCTCATATTTGCTTGCTAGTCTTCCAATCATTTCCAACCCTCTAGGACCAACTTTGTGATGAACTGCTCTCAGTCAATTGGGCTGTTCCACTGCCAATGCGAATTTTGGATGCATGAGTGCACATTTCACTGAGGTTATTTTCTCGGGCAGACTCTTCGCGCACGGCGGTCTGTAAGGAAATCTGCCGCATCACCTTTGCAAACACGAAACACCTGCAATCCCTGCCTTGGAGCACGTCACCATCAAATGGCTCTTAAGCGTACATTGTACACCGAATTCGCCTCTCATCACAGTTTCCAATCTCCTTTCTTCACTACACGTCGTCAAGGTCGAAATCATCCCCAAAGTCCTGTCACCATAGTTTGGTTCACCATGCGATAGGACAAAAACCCCTACAATAAGTAAAATAGATTACAGTAAACTAGTAGGATCGCGCAGTAGCAGTAGTATGCAGTAGTTAGACCTACCACCAGATCACAAGCGCATCTATTGTGGTACAGGAAGGACCGTTTGGACCATAATCCTCTACGAACGATGGGCTAAGTGATCCAAAAGCCTAAAGCTTCGTCCGGGCACTATGCAGACACAAAATCACAAGAAAGAGCCAATTCCGGTCACAAGAAAGAGGCAGGAAATGGAGGCGCGACCCCGGGAATGTGTAAGCGCGGCGTGTCCACAATCTCTCAAAGCTCGACCAGTGAAAATTGATGGGGGTCCAGCGAACTGGCGGCTTTTTTATGCCCAATCACGAATCCACATGCAGAATCTCAGCATGATCTCTCAGAACATTTCAGAACGCCCATGAATATCATGAATATCTGTGTGAAATCCTCAGGCGGTGTAATGGCCGTTGCATGCTGCTGTCCTTGTCGTAGTCCTGATGGACTCGTTTCTCCAGCAAGGCTTCAAAGGCGACGTCTTCCTCAAGCACAAAGCAAGTATCCTCCTCTCAACTTCCTTTTACAAAATTGGCAGCATTAGAGCTGCTGCATGGGCCTGTTTTCATGGTATCAGCTCTGAGACCTAATCAAGACCTAGCAAACTTGCAATGGGGCATGCTCTCCACATATGTATTATATATATATAAAGCTGTTTTATGCTGTTTTGGATTTGCCGGGCTGACGCGAGCGTGACGGGGCAAATGAGAGAAGTACCAAATGACAGTGTAAAATGCTTGACCTACCGTTCAAAGCGACTGAATACACAGTAAATGCATGTAAATGCATCGCTATGGCTGAATTCATGGTTGCTCCAAGTCTTTGGCCGCAAGGGAAATTTGGGTCATGAAATGAATGTAATAAACACATAAAAAACCATATTTGTTTTTCTATTAATCTTTGTATAAATGTACATAAATTAACCCCCGCTTGTGGCTGGTAATCTATCCGTGTAAGGTTGGGGCAACCCTGGAATTGGAACCTTAAGTCACACCCGTCACACCCTGCTTGAATCCCATAGAGCTTGGATAAACCATTGCACCTCCAGCAGCTGCTTTGTGCACTTTTCACAAGTGCTCCAAGCCCGGGGACCCGATGGAATCCCACCATATTTATTGGCAATTCATCTTACTCACTGCACCAAAAAAAACACAGCTGCAACATCCAGCGATGCACGATAGATTGCGTTGCCTGTGATCTGCAGCTAAGACATTCCTAGACCAAATGTAATGTAAGTGAAGAACTGTTCCACTGCCCTTTTCATGCAAATGAAAGAGTGGGTTACAGGATGTTACAGGTTGATTAATCATATTAATGTTGACTATAGTCAGTTATGTTCAGTTACACATTCAGAATTCCTATTCTTAATGGAACGGCTGGGTCTCCTGGGATACCGAGGCGGTCCCTTTGGCCAAGGCACATCATCCTCTGCGAGCCTCAGATGCAAATTGATCCAAGAACCAGCAAAACTTCACAAAGAACTTGACAGGGTTATTGTATGTTATTGTGGGTTATTGCACTTCCATGTGGCATCACATTGGGGGAGAAACATGGATGATTGTTGCCATCCCTGCAAACATTTTTATTAATCAAGATGCCTCTCCTTCCGTGCGCTGATCCAGCCAACCCACTTAGGACACAAACTGCATGAAGTGTAGAAAAATGACAGTGGATAATGATGGGATCCTGATGTGTTTTGATTAGCAAACTGCTTTATTGGATTCTTGAGCTCCGAAACAAAGGCATCTCTCTCTCTCTCTCTCGTGTTTCACATATTTCAAATCAAGGGTCGATAGATTCTATTTTTACATATGCACTAAACAATTCACGCGCATTTATATGTGAATCATATTTTCATATCATCAGCTCAATCCAATGGCAAATGTACCTGTGTGACAACCGCCCCAAACTAGGTCCAGTCACTCGGCAGGACCCATAGCCGTGTCTTCGGATCCCTCGCAACTCAACAAGGTCCAACAGTTCACGCATTCACAGCAATTGCAGCGCAAAGAATTTCAATATCACACATCAAGACTAGGAAGCAAAAAACAAGAGCAATTCAGCCAATTTCAGAGTTACAGGTCAGTCCGACCTGCCAAACCGCACGTCCAAACAAAGTTAATCAGTATTCAAAAAGTATATTCAATAAGTAAATTCAATAAGTGAAACCAATATATAAATGTATTCAAACAGTGTGAATTCAATGAACATATTCAGTGTAAATTGAAAGGGCGTATTGTAAATTCAAACTGGTGTATATTCGAAGAGTTTATACTCAAACAGGTGTAAATTCACAGAGTGTAAATTGAAAGAGTGTAAGTTCAAACCGGTGCATATTCAGAGAGTGTATATTCAAAGAGCCTACATTCAAAGAGAGTATATTCGATATTCAAAAAGTGTACATTCAAAGAGAGCATATTCAAAGAGAGTACGCGTATATTTGAAGAGAGAATATTTAAAGATAGTAAATTCAAAGAGTGTATGTTCAAAGAGTGTATATTTAAAGAGTGTTAATTCCAAGAGATTCGAAGAGTGTATATTCAAAGAGAGTATATTGAGAGAGTGTATATTCAAAATTCAAAGAGGGTATATTCGAAGAAAATATATTCAATCAATGTATATATACATATATATAGTGTATATTCAAAGTGAGTATATCTTCAAAGACAGTATATTTGAAGAGAGTGTATGCAAAGAGAGTATATTAAAACCAGAGTATATTTAAAGACAGTATATTCAGTAAGTATAGTCAATAAGTATGTTCAAGAAGTAAATTCAAGCAGTAAATTCATGTAAATTCAAGAAATATATTCAGCAATCCAATAAGTATATTGCATGATCAGTATATAGAGAAACAAATTGAACCTCCTGAAACGCCAAACAGCTATTGCTGTGAGCAGTATATTGGGATATTCAATGAATACATTCAAGAAGTAGATTCAATCAGTAATTTCGATAAGTACATTCAATAAGTAAATTCAATAATTAGATATTCAATAAGTATTTCAATAATAAGTACGTTCAATCAGTAATCAATACATATATCTTTTCAACAAGTATATATATATATCGTCAATAGAATTTGAGTCTTCGTTCAGCTTGGTTCCAGGCCATCGCTGCATCAGCATCTTGAGGTGCTTGGTCACGTCGGCGTGCACTGCCTGAGACCGCATCTTCCACGTCTTCAGTCTGCTCTAAATGTGTTGGTCCGACTATGCGGAAAACGAAAATGTCCCTGACGAAAGGGACTTCTGCTAAGAAAAGTAGAAAAGTAGACCAGTAGTAGTAGTAGCAGCAGTAGTAGTAGTAGTCGTAGTAGTAGTAGTAGTAGCCCTTGCACGGATGCAGGCCAAACATATCCAGAGCTTCCAGCAGTTCATGCAAGTCCCTAACGTTCCAACTTCAACGCCCTGGTTTTTTCCAGCTTGATTGGGCGCGTCTGCGCGAGCTTGAATCTTTGAGCTCGCTTGAAACCAAGGAAAGATGTGGCTGAGGTTTCTGTCCATATACAAATATAATGCAATTGTTGTAAACACATATGTAATCTTATATAAATGTACTGTTCACAATTGTTCACATATCTTCTCAGAACAGGGATGAACATGTCATACTGGCAAGACTCTGGCCTATCCCGAAATGCCATTCCGGCTGAAAATGTGGGAGTCTCGCCAATATGGCCTCCCACAAATACTCTATGCACTCATCATGCCCGTCCGTGAGAACACAACAAAGGGCCCTTTCTTGGAGCAACAACATTGTTTGGACATCCTCAAGTTCAAGGATCAATGATGATCAATGGATCAATTCTTCAACAGAGTCTCAGGCCACCGTGAAGTAACGCCTCTTTTGGCTAAGTGTATCACCAGCTTCTTGTTTCCATCATCATCCTGGCAGAGAAATGGCCGGTGACCCCTGCAACTTTGCCCATATTGGCCCATGTTTATAGTCGTCTGTGGCTCTAGCAACGCGGTTTACCCATGTTTACTGTATTTGCTCCGCATGTCCCCGGAACTTGCACTGGCGCTAGTAAGAGTTTGGCTAGCGCCCATTCTGCCCACCCTGCGCACGTCCCACACTAAAAGAACTAAATAGATTCATCCCTCCGCAAGAATCCGCAAGAGAACTGCAACATCAACAAAAATCAAGAAAGCCTTCCCCGTGCCGTTTTGTTCGCATTTTCGACAAATTGAACCCTCCAACCCCCTGTGGGGCGGACAATTGATGAAAATGATAACAATTAAATATGGTTGTGAAAGTATGTGAAAGTGACCATAGTCGAACGCGCATGCTCGCATGTATACTCTCTCTCCATCGGCATGTGTACACATTAAACAATTTTCATACATATCCATACAGTGTCATTGAGTCATTGTACATTACATGCATGTATACATTGATACATACTGGACACACGTACTCCCATACGCACACAAACGCACATGTTCACTCTACACCTTGCATCCTCTAACAGTATGTGGCTCTATGAACTTACGATGTTCTCTAACTTGATATCGGGGAGAATCGTAATTATCCAAACTGTCGACGCCTATTTCCTTTTGATATCGCAAGTGACTGCGAGAGCGCTTTGATGGATTGGACATGATTGGACACTCGGACACTCTTCATGATGAGGTGCAAACATGTGCAAACAAAGTCCCCAAACCCTTGATGCGTGTGTCTCCAACAACATCCGTTTTCTGGACTGTCCTCATCGATCTCCCAAAAGCACTCGTCCACGTCCAGCTCGCATCCTGGGATCCCGTCAAAAAGGACTTCGCCTTCAACAGCGATTGAAACCTTTCAGGGCCAAGCACACACTGCAGCAAGGTCCTTTCCCTCCAGTCAGCATCATTTAGTAAATTTAGATAAATTTAGCATAGCCTAGCATCATTCGGCAATGATTCAGCAATGTTCAGCAGTAAAGCAACGCAAAACAACCAACGACAACGCTTGGAAGCTATCTGCAGTTATCCTTGGGACGACAACTTGCATAACTGCGATTCAAGCACATGATCCGAACCACGAAGCATCCACCAGCATTATAACCATGATAATATATTACAATATGCATGCATAATATGTGTTTATTTACCTATATATATACATATACATATATATATATATACATATACATATATATATATATAGATATTATCATTTATATAATATATATATATACATATTATTATTATTGTTATTATTATTATTAATTATTATTAAAACACATTATCATGCTCATACATACCACATATTGTCACTGTGGCAAACTGCATATTATACACACCTGTGATACATGTCCCATCATGTTGCCAACCAAGTGCACTTACACTCCACATTCAACATGATCTATGTCCAATTCCAACTCGTCGTAAATCCATCTGCTGCAGTTCTGTCACGCCTGACGCATGGCGAACGATGCGGAGATGTCCTTTTTGGTAGTGTTGGGACCAACTGCGGCCGTCACCAGAATTTCCATTCCTTGGATCTGCACACTGCAAAAAAACATATTTTGATACATTCTTTATGAACAGTGTGTTGCCATGCTCACGCATCGTAGCAGCGGAAAAGAAAAGAAGTAGGCTATATAGAAGGCTAGAAGTGGTGCAAACGGGTCAAATGCCGATGCTTAAGCATTCCAAACCCATTGGATGCATGTCTTGTGGCCTACTGTGACTGTGTTGCTATTATTGCGAGCTTTCATTTTCTATGCTTCCTGTTGAATGCATGTAGCATTTAAGGGCATCTTTCTGCTTGCACAACATTTCATCAGATACATCCAGATACTAAGATCTGCTTCATTGGTTGTAGCCAGTGCAGCTTGTGGCCCCTGGTGCCAGATGTGGACAGGGTGCAAGATTTAGACGTGCTTTCACAATCGTACTAGTACAAAATCATACGGAAGCTGAGGGTCCGTTCCTGGTCCAAGAATATCGCCCTGCTTCATCAGAGCCGCCCTCGCCCAAATCCTCTCGGCCGTAACCGAGATCGTCAGCTCGTCGAGTTGTCCTCCCAGCTGTGCGGCGGGCAGCCATCTGTGTCAGGCATACGCGCATCCCCCATGCAACAGTTTCTGGACAGATCCTCAGCAAAATCTCCTCGATGTATAAAGGCAATTCAAAAAATCCAGACTCATTGAACAAAAAAAGCATTTGCCAAATTCTGGAGAGGTACAAAATTGGCTACTGACGAATACTGCCGACCCACTCCAATCCTGCAATTGCTAGACTAATTTGTGTTTTCACATGGCAACTGTGTTCGCTAATACTTGGCTGTTTATTTTTTGATGTCCGCAAGATAATTACAATATTTGTGCACACATACACATGAAACACACATATGATTCGATGATTAATGTCCGATATATTCGGGGTAGATCTAGGCAAATCTATATTATATATATATATATATGTGTGTGTGTGTGTGCGATGTGTGTATATATTATTATATATACTGCCTCAGATATCCTCAAATGAGGTATTCGAACAACCCATCATGTGTTCCCATATTGTGCTTTTCAGCAACAGTGAGCCTCTGAAGTCGACGCGCCGAAGCGCCATACATTGCCACAAATAGAGAGGAACACGTCGGAACCTGGGTGCTCTGGAACTACCGCAAGACCTGAATGTGTGGTAACATGTGGTAACCATGATGCTACTGAATCGTACACATATGTACACATCAGTGATGCCATGATGATTGTAACAAGGCCAACAAAGGAAATGGGAACCCCCTCCATCACCTCCATCCACAAAATAGAAACATTTGGAAACTGAGATTCTCTCTGCTGAATGCCTGGGCAAGATGCCCAGTGCCAAAAGCGCTCATGCTGTCGCAGCAAGGGCGGGCTTGCAGCTTTCGCACTTTGGTTATCCTTCACTGATGCTGAAGAAAGTGCGAAGGAATGTGACTGATCCCCGCCGAATTGGTGCAGCAAACCTGAATATCTAGGCAACCTCTGAGGTTTGCTTAACTACCCAACAATGCCCAACATTTTTACCAGTAGCAAAGTCAAATTGTGAAAATACGTATGTGAAAATCACATCTCTGAGGAAAGCTCAACCGATACATGCACGAGCTTGCGCCTCTGGAATCGTGTCAGGGATGCAAGTGAAAATCCTAGTCCTTACTAAAAGCTAAGAACTACATCCCGCTGAACGAAGCCACAGACCTTTAAACGCAAGCGCAGCATGTAAAACATACTAGCTGCTAGCCATGTATAAAGATTTACGACAGTTGTTAATGACAACAAAAGAAGAAACGACCAATATTTGTTGCACACAAGATCCTAGACAGATTCAACAATATATCACAATATACCACTGACATCCACTGACACCAATTGACAAGCAAAAGGTGTACAATTGCCGTGCATCTGCCTGCACTGTGACTCGCGGAAGCCGGGGCTGCTGAAACGCAACGCTTACCTCGAATAGATTTTGATGCTGAAGCCGACCAATGCCAAAATCAACCAAACAAGTATGCCCTAGCTAGTTAGCAAGCTCAAGTCCAAAACAGCCAAATATCTGGCCACAAATCAAAATGCTTCCCCTAGGCCCTAAACCATTCTGAATGCGTCTCCGGACAATCATTGCACAATACAGAGTAGCACTTGCATGTGCTAGGTATTGACACCTTTCTCTGCGCTTTGGACACGAAGGGCGGGTGGGCCTCCAAACAGTTACATAGTGGCTGAGCCAGTTGTCCGGAAAATCCAAAGGCTAGGATGCGAATCCTGTGAAAGCTGCATCAATCAGGTCAACATTGCCTCTTCACAAATTCCTTAAGTAGCCAAGCTGCATACATGATGCAGCGGCTGCCGTATAGCTTGTCGCTTAAAATCTATGCTGCAAGCTGGTAGGCATAGAATTTATAGGATCTAAAGCTTCCTTTCTTGAGCCACGCCGGCAATTAAATCGCAAGGACCCGTGAAACAAAAACTGGGAGCGATGATATACAGTAATTAAGCAATAATTACGAGTAAAAGTATATAATTCGGGTATATTGTTATGCCTGTCACAATGTGTTACAATATATTACAGTATCAATATGTTACAACGGAATCGGGGGACATTGTCTGGTGCATAGTGGCAGCAAGCATGCAGAGATTGCACCTTGGCATTGAAATTCTATGAAATGCATTGAAATGCTTTGATTCTATCTGATCTCTTAGTCCACAGGCCTGTCGGGATCACTGTTGGCATCGCTCAACTCAAATATACTCAAACATGTCTTTAAACATATTCAAAAAACTTTTTGTTTTATGTTTTTTTGGTTTCTTCGTTTATGGTCCATATGGGTTTATGATGGTGTATGTGTTTATGTCATTCATTTGCATCTCAGGAGTCTTAGCCGAGTTCAAATTTATCACTTTCACAGTGCGGGTGCCTTTTCGAAGGCCAAGCATTTCTGCCCAATTGCCTGACCCTGCACCACTGCAACGGAAACAAGAGGATCGCTTTTAGCAGCGGATTCGACCGGCACAGTACAGACTTCACATCATTGGTGTACCAATTTCCAATTTCAGTTGTTCATTATTGTTCTTCTGAGCTTCCCTTGCTCTAGTCTAGGCAGCATGTTGACGACTAGTAAAGCAAAATAATGCAAAGTCGCCTTGGTGCAAAAATGATTAAAAATGTGTAAAATACATTAAAATACTGGAAACCACATTTTTGAGCAGCCTCAAACAAGAATCCCGTCCAATCAGCCTGGTGGCTGACAGGGACACCCCACCTGCTGCGCTGCTGCGCCACTCTTTCCTTCTTTCTGGCTTGAGCCAAGAACCCAATGGATGCAGCATCCAGTGGCACTACCTTGATTTATCCTGACATGGAGCACATCAACGTTAAGTTGACAAATGCCATTGAGTTGGCTGTCAAAGTTGAGATATGATCAATGTGATCTAAATTCTGTATTTTGGACGTGTAATTGTTTGGAGGTCCTGCCAGGACGACCTGACTATATGTGTATCCATGTCTATGTGCGTCTTCTGACTAGTTGAGCGCCAACATGTCATGTGTTTAGATTGTTGTCAGGTCACGTTGGAAGCTTCACTTCAAAAAAATACGAATCTTTACACCAGCACAAATGAACGCAAGACATCTGGCTGATTGCATTCACCTCAAATCCCATTTGGTTCCGAGATGCTTTACTGTGCTGAGCTCCTTGCATTTGGTTGAGCATTGAGGATCCTTAGTCCAACTCAAGCGACAACAGCCTGCGAGATCATGCAAACCCTAAGCAAGAGCGGGAAAGCATACGTGATTGCAACGGGGATTCTTCGTGACTTCGCCACATTAATTTTGTTTATAGTTTTTTAAATATGTTTAAGTATAATTGCCGTGGTTTCATATTTTTGCCCAGCACTGCATCACTTGATACTTTTATTTTGTCCGCCTCCGTGAGTCCAGTCCACTGCACAGCTGCAGCACAGCGTGATCAACATTGGAGCTGTTCCGACCTCTAATTCTCAATTAATTTCTGAATTGAAATCATCAATTACAGTAACAATACTTACAGTATAATTATATTATATATATATATATAATATAATTACAGTAATTAATGAGATCTCGTTTTAAATACTGAAACCTTGGCTTCCGGACACGTGGCGCAATAGTTCCAACTCCTTTAGGTCGACAAAATGGGCCAGGGCGACCAGGCCATGCTACCCGAGCTACAAGCATCTACAAGCATATCTATGCGTAACAAGTTCTAAGAGACCCAGTGGGCAAAAACTTGAAGCCTCTCCTTTCCGTAGAGTCCACTGAGAGAACCCTGAAACTGACGTGCTGCCTCGGATAGCCTGAAGATCGAGCTTGCATGGCGCATGGGCTATAACCCGCGGCTGCACACATTGCCGTGGATTTTGCTAATTACAGTACTTCCCTATCAATCGCCCTGAATGCATCCAATGGTTCGACAACCTGATGGTATCAATATCAGACACCATGATGGGAAACTAATCTGGCAAATCACAAAAAATAGTCCTTCCTCCAAGTCAGTATACGGTTCACATTGCAGCGCACCTCAAGAGCTCTGGAGCAGGGGAGTGGCCCTGATGGCGCCGGGTGGCAATGGCCACATCCTGTGCAGCGAGCCAGAACTTCTCGACCTGGACACGGCTACGGTCTTGGTATGGCTCGGTGCTTGGTGGCTGTCCATCTTGGTCTATCTTTGTCCATTCCCAATCTATGCGGAAACTTCTGAACTTTGACGTGTTCAACCAACAAGTTTCTGATGCATCCAAGCATACTCACTACTCTATCACCAGGAAGATTGAGTAGTGACAAACGACACGACAACTGAACATGTTGGTCTTGCAAGTCTTGACGTTGCAGCCGGTCTGAGCAAACATAATTCTATGTCCGGGTTGGGTTTCCACTACAAAATCGGAAAAAACTCGTCAACATATCTAAAGTCCAAACTGATGTTTCTAGGGGTGTGAAATGTGTGAACAAGGACATGAACATATATTTAATTTGTACAATACAAGCCTCTGTCATGAAGGATATGGAAAAAATGTGTTGCAACTGCAGGCACCAAAACGACGACTCTGGAACATGCATTGAAATAGACCAAGTCCGGATGTTCAATCTGGATTCCAGCCTCTTCTCCATTGTGCCCACCTGCAAAGACTGCAAACATGAAAAAGATCGGGGGCCTATAATCTGTCCGAAATCTCTCTCTGCACTTCTTATTTTCATTGGATAGTGCAAATAGCTACGTCGTAATTATTACAGAGACAAACGTGCAAACAAATGGTACATAAATACTTGTAATTATGCACACAGTTTAACCAAAAATAAATAAAAAAAAGAAAAAACAACCTACATATCATATATCACAATAGTTTTGAACATATTGTATTGAACATCGTTCTTGAATGTTCTTGACGCGCTCCGGGATTCATGGCCATGATATGCAAAGGTGCATCTGTTGCCAAATGAAGATACTGAAGGGAGATAAAGGCAATGATGTTGACCTAGCTTGGGACTCAAAACTCTTTGCCTGGTTCTGCTTCAGAAATCTCCATTCTGCCACTTATGCCACTTTAAGTTTGTGCAGCCATTAGCTATACTAACGGAGCCAACACAAAGTATTACCATATCTCTTGGATGTTTTACACAGCATTGCATTGAAGCTTTCTTGTACAGTTTCCTGCAAACATCTGCCAACACTGCTTCCCGCTTCCCCTTGCGTTTTAATCTCTGAACTGTGCGCAGCCGGCAAAGCTCGCCGTCGGGTCCCTGGAACAGAATTCGTCTATATAGATCTATATAGACTGTATGTGATCATGTGAGACGTGTAGTGGAGTTTGGCAGTCGAACACCTTCCGGCAAATTGCCCGTCTGCAAATGCACGCAGAACGTTCACTAGTGGCATTCGATGACCAGCGCAGCTTCCCCGCTCTGTCTCATTGGGCACCCGCATGAGGTGGCCTAGTCAGTGCTGCAAATCATTGGGAGACAGGAGGGTAGCAAATGCGTCAAAACACCCACAAATACTATGTATATTAAATATATATAGTATATAATGATATATAATGTACCCCTTGACAAGGACTCCTTGGGCAACAATGCAAAACATTCATGTAAGCGAGCCAGGAGTCCTTGAGTTTCAAAGTGCGCAAAGAAAGCTGCTTTCCGATTGGATGCAATGAGAGCTAGAAGAGCGATGGATATCAGCTACAGCATGATGAGATTGGCTGATGCGTCCAAGATCTCTGATGCTGGCAGGCCCCGCAACCTCAGGAAACAACGCAATAGGATCATGCTGTAAATGATTCGTCACAGCTGTAATAGCAATGTATTCAGAGCTGAAATTAGCTGAACCATGATGATACCAAGGACATCCAAGGGCAATGGATGAGAAAAAACCAGGTCCAGAATGGTTAACCCCTCACTTCCAACAGCCAGTTTCGACTCACTTTCAACACCGTCGCACTTCCAACACCCAGAGAACTCACTCCCAACGCCCAAAAGTAACTCACTTCCAGCGCAAAAAGCAGGTTTCGGCGTCGGTAGCGAGACAATTTCAATACTTACCACACCAATCCACACCACAACACCTTGGAGTTTGTTTGGGAGACTGGGGAGGAATCCTTCTACTTACATAATTACTGGCATCAGCCATTTAGGGTGGTAAACGACTCAGCCACGCACACAGATCGCATTCAGCGGCGCACGCAGCCAAAACTCAGCCACGCACGCAGAACAAACTCAGCCACGCACACAGAATCAACTCAGCCAGGCACACAGGTCCAGGACAGCCAAGCACACAAATCTATCTCAGCCACACACACAGAATATACTCAGCCATACACACAAAGAAAATTCAGCCAAGCCACACACACAAACCTTTATATGTTGCAGTTAATGTAAAAAAAAACAACAGGTTTAGGGTCTATATGTTGTTGCACGTAAGAAGAGCCAAAACACCTTTAGGGTTTATATGTTGTTACACTTAATGCAAGAAGAGACACGACACCTTTAGGGTTTATATGTTGTTGCACTTAATGCAAGAAGAGACACGACACCTTTAGGATTTATATTTTATATGTTGTTGCACGTAATGTAAGAAGGGCCACGACACCTTTAGGGATTATATTTTGTGGAACTTAATGTAAGAAGAGCCAAGACACCTTTAGGGTTCATATGTTATTACACTTAATGTAAGAGGAGCCACGCCACCTTTAGGGTTCATATGTTGCTGCGCTTAATGTAAGAGGAGCCACGCCACCTTTGGGGTTCATATGTTGTTGTACTTAATGTAAGCAGAGCCACGGCACCTTTAGTTTATTTTTATGTTGTTGCGAGTAATGTGACAGGGGACATGACACCTTTAGGATTTGTATGTTCTTGCACTTAATGTAAGAATACGAAGAAACATATGATGACGATGGTGATTAGGATGATGGTGATGATGATGATGATGGTGATGATGATGATGAGGAGGATGATGATGATGAGGATAAGGATGAGGATGAGGAGGATGATGATGATGATGATGATAGTGATGATGATGATGATGATGATGATGATGATGATGATGATGCTGGTGATGATGATGATGATGATGGTGATGCTGGTGATGATGATGAGGGATGATGATGATGATGATGATGATGATGATGATGATATATGATGATGATGATGATGATGATGATGATGATGATGATGATGATGATGATGATGATGATGATGATGATGATGCAGATGCAGATGCAGGTGCAGATGCAGGGGCACGCGGAGTAGGGAGCGAAACCGTTTCCGGCGTTGGAAGCGAGTCAAAACTCGGCGTCGGAAGCGAAGAACAGGATGTGCGACCTATGACCTATGGCTTTCTAGCCGTGTGCTGTTCATGATCGCACATCTTTTCATCCAACCCATGAAGAACACACGGCTACTATGCACTGCTGGAATTGCAAACAAATAGCAATCAAACGCCGCCTTCCATGTAGTCTATCATATCTATCATGTCCACAAACATCCCAGCGGAACCAAAACAGTTTGAAATTCACCAGAAGCGCGTCAGATGTCCGGTAGCATTGCCAAACAAAGGGCCAAAAACGGCCAAAAAAAACAAACACGCAATGAGTTGCGGCGAGCAGCTCATTGTTTGCCAGTTGGAACAGCGCCTCGGAGATTGACTCCATTGTGGCCATAGTCTGGCAAATCTGGCAACACACTTCATGGATATATACATTTGTGAAATGTTGTGAAGTATCACCAAAATCTTAACTTATATCACAAACACACTGTGCCTTGCAGAACTGTTGTGGAAGTTGGATGCTTCCTTCACCCAAACTGACCTGGTCCAAATGCATCTTGTCACATCCCCGCCTGTTGGGGAGGGGGATGACCATGGATGACCCCACCATGTTGGTGTATTTGCTGCAACGTTGGGCATGGAAGAGCATGGAAAATGTTATCTGACATGGTTTCACGCAAAAAGGTCAGCAAACCTGTTCCAGATCCAGCCTCTAAATCTATATGCAGTAATATATCATATATCATATATATATATCCGTATATCACATTCAGGATTCAGGTCTGGCCTGCAAAATCAGGTGCACACAACAAGCTGCAGAACAAATTGTTGCGTGGAAAATTGAGAAAACATAGAAAACCAACCAGACCATCTTATGGAGTTCTATTGCAACAATCTGTCCGTGCTGCTCCTGCAAAACCGTGCGTCCTCACAAACTCCGCATCCGTGATACTAAAGTACTATCCACCAAAGGAATCCTTGTGGCATTCCCCACTTCTTCTCAGCCATTTCTTTCAGGTCTCTCTGAACTCTCTGAGCCAATCTGAACGAGGTACCTGTCCAGATTCAGTGGCTTGAAAGCCTCCATCCAGTAGTGCCTTTGCCAAAGCTTTGACCTTGGGAGTCGGAGAAATGGTGCGGACATGTGCCCCAAGACGCATAAAATGATACAAAATGCCAATCAAAGTCCAAAAGGAACTGCACCATATGGAACGTAACGCTGACAGAACTTTCCCGTGCCCTCATGTGAGCTGCGCGTTCTGAAATGAAAAATGGCAACGACTGATAGGACTGATGTTGGTCATAATTACTTAAGTTCCATCGCAGCGGTGATTTTGAGCGGCTATGCTAGGTTTTGATAGATATATATATATATATAAAGTAACTTAATAATACTCTTTCAGACTCATCTGAATGAGCAGTGCAGTGAGAAATGATTGCCCTGAAGCACAAAAAACGTATTCAGGTGACCTGTCTTCTCTGAGATTTGCAAATGCACGCTTTGTCACTACGTGAGAATACATGAGAATACTCTATATAGATACTCAAAGTCTTTCCTGCCGGCACAGGAAAACGAGGAATGTCATTTGTACATCATCAACTGCCGCCATGCCTGTTCAGGGTCATCAATGCTGTTC